GTTATGCAATTTAGAAAAATATCAGTCTATATTTAAGACGAATGATAAACAAATAAATAAATAAATAAATAAATTTATTATATTGATTTAAAAAACATTTTTATTTATTTATCGTTATAAACATTTAAAAAATAATTTATTATTTAAAAATATTAGCCAATCAGAATTGTGGAATTGCGGATTACTAACTGCAATTTGACTCCAAAATCTGCAATATTGCGGATTTGAAAAATCATTTGAGGGCCCATCCTTATCTGAAGGTATTGATTTTAATCAGTATGAGACGTCAATTTATCGAGAATGGTATTATTTTGTACAATTTTTATAAGTTCTTGTTCAATATTTCGCTGACTATTATGAAATGATCCTAAAATTATATTTAAAATATTATTAGTAAATTCTAGTAGATTCATCAATCAGCATTATCAAGTTACCTAACAAGCCATTTATTCGTTCTATTGGGTAATACCAATATGCATATAAGGGTCTATAATCTAATGAACACTTACATAAATGCATGCATAAATACAAATTGGAAGTTATTTTTTTAGGTCTGTAAGTTTTTTCAATTTTCTTAACCATTGCTATTAAATGCTAGTGAGCTTCTATAAGATTGTTTTTTGATACTATTCTGCATACCAAAATATGACAAGCGTGGATAAAGTTTGCCAGAATTTTTCGGTCAGACTCTTTCAAAAGGTTCCAAGTAATAGATGTTGTATATATTAATATGAATGTTTTCTATTGGCCAGCAAAAAACCCAGAAAAGCTTTTTCTTGTCGATATTTTGTTTAGAAATCTACTAATATCTGCTGATACCTGAATTTGATTAACTCTCTTTTGCATTAACAAAAGATTCTGTAATGTTAATTTTCCTTCTTCAATTCATAGTCTCATCACGATCTATTTAGCAATGTCTAAAAAAAAACAATGCATAGGATCTATAACTAAAAAATGTACTGGATTGAAGTAAGGTAAACGATGAATTTCAGACTATTGTACTAAAGTTTTAGATACATGTTTCTGGCATTGATCATTTGTTTTGCAATCTTTCTATGCTAAAACATTATTTTAATTTCTTCAGCATTTTTTTCTACAAACCAGTCATCTATATTATCCATTTCTTTAAAATTTGGTTGATTTCTTTTATCAAAACTGGCATATTTAAGGCATCGGCGGCATGCAATTCTTACAGATATATATTCACAAAACTTTCTTACGGCAGGTATGTCACAAGAATAGCATATAATCGCACTTCTAATTTTTTTTCCATTAGAGGATTCAAAAGTTTTCAATAAATCTATAATACGCTATAGTTCAATTAATTGTTCAGCCAGATAATGATTCAAATAATATAATATCAGTTCTTTTAAACCTGGAATCAGTGCTAATGTTATTATATTAGAAGGTTTAAACCTTTCATTTCAGGGCAAATTGCAAATAGTAGCATAAATTGCACCAGTACTATATTGAAAATTTTTAAAGGGTTAAAACCAGTCTATACTGAGCATCAATCCAAGCACTGGTCAAAATTGATGTTATCGGACACATATCATCTACCTGATATGTGCCTGATATGTATGAGATATATGTGTAATATTTAACAATACTACACATATCAGGTACCCGATATGTGTAGTACAAATGTAAAAATTCGGACACATATATTATACATATCAGATACATACACTGGTCAAAATTGATGCTATCAGATACTTAATAGTTATTCGGCATGAAGTGCCGAATAACTGTTATATTGGGTAAATCAAATTTGATTGGTTGATCTGGGCTCCGCAGGAGCTCGAGATCAACTGAACAAATTTGATTCCCAATATAATAAGCTACCTTTAGGTAGCGTTAGTTATTCGACTCAAAGTGCCGAATAAGTGATTTATCCGGTATCACGTGATTTATACGTAACATTTAAGCTTTTTTTTTGCCATTTTTAGACTTTTTCTTCTTGATAAACTTTTTTTTTTATTAAATAAACATTTTAATCGTCTCTTGACTCTTCTAATGGAAAATATTAATTTTAATAACGACAATGTGAGTTTTATATTTAAATTATTATTGTTATTAATATTTTCAAAATTAATAATATCTGATATAATATTTTAGTCATATTTCAAACCAACGGCTGAAGAGCTTGCAAAAGTTCAACAAAGCTGCGTACCATTAAATACAACTAGGTGTACTGAAAAATGGGTCAATATTTTGAATTCTTGGCAAAATCATCAAAATGTTGGTTATATGTATACACTTGAATCACTTTCTTCTAATGAACAAATTGAAAAGGAAATGTGTGAATTTTTATATGGTGTTAGAACAAAGAAAGGTGATAAATATTCAAGAGCATCACTTAAAAATGCAGTTGCTTCAATAAGTCGTCACCTTAAAAATTCAATACTATATTGGAACTATAATCTTTTAGACAAGAACAGTTTTCCAAAACTTTATGCTACACTCGATGGCAGAAATGAAGAGACTAGGAATAGGCGCTGCAAAACTACATGAAGGTTTGACGAATGAGGAAGTAAAGCATATCTTATAACATGATTCCATGTCTTCCAATAAACCTGAAGGATTGCTTAGAAGGGTTTTCTTGTGGATCTGTCTGCTGGGATGTCCACGAGGTGGTGAACATTACAAACTACTAATTGATCAATTTGAAGACACAGAAAAGGGATTCATTTTTAAAAAATTCCAACAAAAAAATGATCAAGGAGGATTAGAAGGAAATCAGCATACTTTTGAAATACTATTTCCATCAGATATTGCCGATAAAGTTGAACCTAATGCAGATATTCGTAAGTATATTTCAATGAGGCCTCCAAATTGTACTACCAAGGAATTTTACTTAGGAATTTCGAATGCATCAGGTAAATTGAGATTTATTGATATTTGTAATTAATTTTTAAATGAATTTTAATTTATCTTTTAATTTTTATTTGTTTTTAAAATTTCTATAAAGGACAATGGTATCTTAATCGGGCACTTGGTGAAAAACGGATTAGAGGAATGTTTCGGAAAATTTGTTTAGTATGTGATATTGATATATCTGGAAGAAATATCTCTAATTATTTAGGTCGAAATACGGCAATTCAATCAATATTTGATGCTGGTAATGAAGAAATTGAAGCTATGGCTATTTCAGGACATAATTCATCAGCTGGTGTACGAAATTACCTTAAAGTGACAAAGGAGAAAAAAAGAAATATCCTTAACTCAGTCGTACAAAGGTTGACAGAATCTAATACTTTGTAACAAAGATGAAGTATTAGAAGATAAAGAGGTATTTTACATTTTTGTTATTTAAAATTTTACATATTAACAAAAATATTACATATTAACATTTGATCTAAATTACAGTTGCCCAAATCTAATACTATTAATAAAAATGAAGCATCAAAAGATAAAGAGGTTTTTTACATTTTTAATACATATGGGCTGATCCTTGGAATCTAATTTTTTTACACAAAAATAATTTTATTAAAGCAAATATAAATTATCATTTATATAAGAATAATAAATTTATACTAGATAATGCAAAAAAAACTAATTAATTATATAATTTTTAATTTTTTTTTAATATAAGATATCATTAAAATTTAAAAGATCAAATATAACTCTCATGACAAAATCATTGATAATTCTTCGTAGAAATAAGCTATACAAATAAATTTACATTCATTTGAAAGAGAAAATCGAGATCTATCTAATGAATCTAAAATCA